GCATCAAATAAAATAAATAATATCCGTATATCTGAGATTATTACTTACGGTGGCGATTCAGGGATATGATACTCGTACCCTGGGATATGGATATAATATATGCACAATTGTTATTACAATTTTAAACATTCTACGGAAGAAGTAAATAATGTGTATCAATTAATTTTAATCTTGGCTATTATAAATTTTCACTAGCACCAATTAATCCAACACAAAATTAAACACTCCAAGGATATGTATACAGGATGATTTCGAAATGTATGCAATAATTGTAATCACGGCATTACGTACCGTACCGTAGTAATGTAGAAATATAGATGAAACAAATTAAAAGTCCAATTGGGCAAAACCCCCATGAACCACCTTCGATGCGATGCCACTGATTCACCTTTTAAAAAGTAGGTGGAAAAACGTTCGAATAAAAACGATGTAAACACTTTCAGTTTCAATTAAAAGTAAAACCGACTTTTGCTGGTTCTTATTCGTTCATTCATGTATTCATTCATCGTTGAAGGTCAGTGCGAAAGATTATTAATTTATTAGTTTGAGAAACAAATTTTTGGTAATGGTTTATGGTGATTGACTTTTTATTTTGACGGATGTTTGGTCCTTGCCACAACGATTCCAGATAGTTTATTAGAACAAAAATAAGAAGGTAACGGTTTTACTTGTGCCAAAAAGTTCCCCAATAGAAACCTTTTTACCATGTTAGTAATGTTAAATACTATACCATGCTTACAATAATCTTAAAACGTTTATAAAAATTCACAGCATTCGGTTTTGCAGTTAATTAAATTATAAAATGTATAAAATTTTGTTTTTTTTTTAATGTGACGTCTAGGGTCAAAAATCAAAACTGATTCATAAACCACAAATGTAGGAGGATGTTGTTTTGTAAAATTTAAATCATGCTAACTCTTCAAAATTTTGAGGCGACGCTATCACATTGTTTATGGGAATGATTAGACAAATTTTAGTTAACTTGCTACTACAGTCACCGGTACGAAGATCCGAAAATGTGCAAAATAAAGAACGATTTCGGTTGCAATACTTTGATGTTCTTATGCAACGTTTATTGTAATAATTTTATCGAAAAAGAACTAAAAAATATATTATTTTAATAGAAAATGATAAAAATTCAATAATCAATTCAAGCTGAAAAAAAATTAAAGTTTCCAAAAAAGCAAAATCAAATCATTGATCATTGACACACTGTTTAAGGACGTCAATAACTGGTACTTCCCCCATGAACCTGTAAGACTGCTGCCATTCTCTTGGGCATCCCATGAAATAAATTGTTTATTTATACTTGTTGGATATTCGCTCATTCCTTTAAAAGCATATTCTGAACCTCATCTAAAGTGTGGGGTGCAGGTACACTCAATTAATATGCTGGTCAAAAAACAATATCAAAAATAAGGGTAGGAAAAACGTAGAAGCATTGTCCTCAGAAAAATATTAGCTGGCCCGTTTTTCATGCCGGTGTGTGTATTGCAGGATATTCCTAAAATAGATATCAAATTTGATAATCGGTCCAGTAGTTTCGGAGAAACGAGAGTGCTATTGTTTCGTACTCTAGGGGTCATGAAAGTTCGAAAGAAGATGAAAGTAGTTATTCACTGGTTGAACCCTACTACATTGCATTGACGTTCAAGACGTAAAAGTATGTTTTACTAGGAAGGGCTAATTACTGCATTGTTATGTTTTGCTCATGGAAGATTTCCTAATTTTAAATAAATTGCAGTCAGCCTGTTGGGAAAATATATAACATGTTTGCACGAGGTTTTTAATCAAACCTACAACTTCCGAGAAAAACTTTCATAAGATTTCAACTTGGTTAAAATCTTCAATAGGTCATTAAAATACAATATATTGGTGAAATTTCAGTACTTAACCAGAGTACATTGTACCAGTAAGTTATCTATTCCATGTAGATAATACTCGTGCATGGTTATCATGTAGATCAACAAATAACAGAAAGTATGTTATAACGATTAACCTAAATTAAACTCTGAATAAAATTGCTGTGAAAACAAAATTAAGACTTTTTTACGGACCTGAATTTAAATTAAATGACCTTTATTTATTTCACTGCTTTTTTACATTTACCAGGTTAGAATCTTAAAGGGTTTGCCCTATGATGTTTGGATAAATGTTTGGATAACACAGCTAACACAAAAAAAAAGAACTAAAAGTCGTCCGGACGACGCCTCCTCACTAGCCGGAACTGCTTCGGATCCTGGGGAGGCAGTCTGTTTCCGGTATTGAGTCGGCGCGACTGTCAGGTTTCAAAACTACAGTTGATTTTATAACGAGTTTCCTGCACAATTTCCAATTTTTTCCACAAGGTGCCATCATTTTTAGTGGACACGATCCGACAAATTTTGGTTAGCGCTTTACCAGTCACATAATATTCTTAAAGTAGTTTTAAACTTTCGCACAAAACATTCTTATAGTTTCGAAAATTACCAATAGTAATATCCTGAACGCATGTCAAATTGTCGACAACTTTAATTTTCTGGAGTGCGCACGAGTGAAAATTAGGAGACAATTTGATCTGCAAGAGCGTATATTTTGCATGACAACGTAAGCAGTAGAAAATAAAAATATATTCTAGGCGATTTAGTGAAAGCTGCTCCAGCAAAATCGATGTGGTATTCAATATGAGACGATGTGATGGTATAGAATATAATGAAACCTACCTTTTGTAAATAAAACTTTGAAATCAATCTTATTTTTGATCGTTTTCAACTAAATGTCAAATCTGGTGATAATCAATTATTTACCCTAATACAAAATTATCTCTGAAATACAGTTATTATTGGTGGTTATGCAGAAATATAAATGATTTGATTGGATCACTTCTTTTCAAGGAAATCGTCTGTCTAATATAATCGTCAACTGGCAGACAACAGACAGACACAAAGAGAGAGTAGAACTGCTTTTACCAAATTTAAAGTTCAAAATGCTCTGTAAAGTTTAAATTAACACGTTAATCTGTGAACATTCTGGGCCTATTTCCATTTCTGCATTTTCAGTTGTTTAGAAAATATGTGTAAATTTATTCTTGTTGACTTCATGTAAGACCAAAAATTAATAAGTATTAGTATAAGAAGGCAAGCGATGTTGTTTAAACACTATTTCTTGAATATTTATACAAGGTGACTGCGAAATACATGCAAAAAAAAATGGGGAATAGCTCACAATATGATTATGTCACTGGGTAAAATTCACGGTCCTAAGTAGTAGCAGTGTCTAGAAAAAATTATTTGAAATTCAATGTAAATTGTTGTACGCGCCGCTGGACTGTTTTGTGACCTACATAATTACTACAATGAATGGAACAGAGCGAGTCGGTTAAAGATCCAAAAAAGTTACTTTATCAGGCACTTTTTTAATCGCAACGTGAAAAACACGAAAAGGGCCAGTTAGCATCGAGCGGTCGGTGAAATCGGTTTATGGTGCAGTTTTCCCATGCAGATTGTGTCGATATGGTAATGGGTGCATCAGTGGTACAGCATCTCCGAGATCATGGTACCTTCAACCTCAAACTCACGATCGTGGCCGTGATAGGACAGAAAGAAGAAGTTGGATTTTCACAGCTTGTAGTGCATCCTACATTAAAAGAATACGGCCACATCCATACCATGTTGACAAAGTGCACGGTTTGGAGTCCACTGATTGTTCACGTTGTGTAACTCACTTTTTGTCCGATGGAACTCCACGTAGTCGTCAACAAGTACGATTTCAAGAGACGGTTTTCGATAAATGTGTATCAGTTGGATGAAACAGTTCGTTTGTGGAAATCAACAGTGTCCAGAAATTATCGAAGAGCTTCAACAAGTGAAAGTGACACCCGCTACTCCGGTGTTTTTTTACCTATCAACAAACCTCTTGCGACGCTCTGACGCCTGTATTGCTAGTCAAGGACAACATTTTCAACATTTGTTGTAAAAAGGTAGTAGCATTCTAAGTTGCTCTTATTTCTGTTCCAATAAACAACGTAAAATCGTTGTGACAAGGACCAAACATCCGTCAGAATCAAAATTACCAAAAAACTTTCACACTGACCTTTAACGATGAATGAGTAAATGAATGAACGAATGATAAGCAGCAAAAAGTCGGTTTTACTTTTAATTGAAACTGAAGGTGTTTAGGTCGTTTTTATTCGAACGTTTTTCCAACTCTGTTTACAAGGTGGCTCAGTGCCTTCGTATCGAGGGTGGTTCATGGGGGTTTTGCCCCATTCGATTTTTAATTTCTTTTTTCTATATTTCGGCTCTACTAGGGTGGGGGATGCCGTGGTTAAAATATTTGCACTTATTTCGCAGTCACCCTGTATTTTGTGACTTACGTTCGAAATTAATGGCACGAAGTTAATACATATCTTAATGAACACTAAAATATGTTCTAAACAAATTGTTTTTGCATGTATAGTCATACCGTTTGGTCTTTTAAATTGGACATAAAAGGATGCTCTGGAAACAGAAGATTGTGAAACACATAGGGCGTAGTTTAATTAGTTTAGCAACAATTTGTCAATGACAATGACATTTATATAAAAAACCAGAGTCTTTCCTCATGCCAAATTAAAAAAATTATAGCGTATAATTTTGTATGATGCTAATTTCAGTAACTCATAATTGTACACAGAGGTACTTATGATTCCAAACTAAATATTTACCATTTGAGATGTTTTTCTACAAAGATCTGTTTACTAAGGTATTTTAATGTCAGTCACCTATTTGTGTCTACTATCTACATCTAAACAATTATTTTTACAATTTTATTCTTATACTTATAGATTAATGGTTATACGTAAATACATATTACTGAAATACTACCATAATTGAACTTATTTTTATTTCCAGGGAATACGTAAATTTTTGTATGGGTTGTCACAAATTGTTCTAAAGTAACATATTTGAAACAAATACATGTACATAATTACAATAGAGTGCTAATATTTGCAACTACATTTTTAAGTAAGCAAAACTGACCTACTTTACAGTAAACACTCCACAACGCGACGTCGGGCTCCTTATCAATAATATGAGAAAGAGAAAGTTGTTATTCACGTTATTTTTACATTCGTGTGTAACAGGTTCACGTTTGCAATAAATTTTTTCAATATTCGTCTAAAGAAACGTTCAAGATGAGCGACTCTTTAGTGTGCGTTAAAGATTTCGAAAAATATGCCCGTTTGATATTGTCTAGAAACACACTAGACTACTATAGATGTGGAGCTGGGGATGAAGAAACATTAGCTCACAATCGTAAAGCTTTCTCGAAGTAAGTACTTCGTTATATGTTGCTATTTTAATAAGAGTCAAACAAATGTTCCATAAAAGGTATAAAATAAGACCGCGTTGTCTAAGAAATGTGGCCAACAGAGACCTTTCAACAACTATTTTGGGAAGAACAGTGAAAATTCCCATCGGAGTTTCTCCAACGGCTTTTCAGAAAGTCATACATCCCGACGGAGAATATGGTACTGCCAGAGGTAAGCATCTCGTACACTTAGTCATAACTTAATTACCATATGCCGAAACTTGCAGCTGCTGAAGCGATGGGCACTGTTTTCATTTTAAGCATAGTAGCGTCTTGTACTATAGAAGAATTGGGAAAAGCAGTACCTAACGGCAATAACTGGTTACAGCTATATGTCTACGCTGATAAGTTAGTAGGTACTCATAACAATCCTTCCTACACAAAATACTTAATTTTTTAGAGAATTCACCCAAACGTTAGTGAAACGGGCTGAAGAGTCAAATTTTAAAGCACTGGTGATTACAGTGGACACACCCCTTCTTGGCAGACGCTTAGCCAACATTAGGAACAAATTTGTTGTTCCAAAACATGTGATTTTACCAAACCACATGCGTGGTCGCCAACTTTTCAATCCTAGCTCAGACTGGAATGATATTAAATGGCTAAAAAGTATTACGAAACTTCCAATAATCTTAAAAGGTATTCTTACAGCTGAAGATGCAATTATTGCTGCGGACGTCGGTGTTGATGGTATTTTGGTATCAAATCATGGTGGAAGGCAATTAGATGGTTCACCAGCTACGGTATAGTTGTGATTACTTATACATTTTTATTCTGTTAAGTATAACTTTAATCGTTGTCTGAAATTTTCTAGATCGAGGTTCTACCTGAAATTGTAAAAGCGGTAGGTGATAGACTTGAGGTTTACGTGGACGGAGGAATAACAAATGGTTCTGATGTATTCAAAGCTTTGGCGTTGGGGGCCAGAATGGTGTTTATGGGACGAGCTCCGATTTGGGGATTAGCGCACAGTGGTGAAGAAGGTGTTAAAAAAGTGCTCGATATAGTTAAAACGGAGTTAGACGGTGCTTTAGCTATTGCGGGGTCTGCGACCCTAAAAGATATAGAACCTGGAATGGTGGTGCCGAATTCGTATTACAGTAAACTATAATATTTATTGTAAATTTAAATCATATTTGAAATAAGATTTCCAGTATCGCATGGAAACAATGAATTAAATATTATTATTATTATTATTACTAATTACTACTACTATTACTAACTATTGTCCAAACATTGTTCCTGTGGGTTCATTTTTTATCATATCCAAATTAAAATGTTTTTTGAAATTTTGTCAAAAAAATTACAGCCGTAAATAATACAAACTAATAGCAAACATTTTATTTTACTACAATTATGTATTTTACAAATTTTATTATTATAATTTATCAACCTCTGTACACTCAAGTGGTGTTGTAGATCTTTGTAGTGTTCAATGAATTATCAATATTGATCCAGAGATAACGTGCTAGATATTCACTGACTTCAGTTGAGTTTTATGTGTAAGAAAGGTTTGTGACTGATATTTACGTTATTACTAATTTTGAGAATTGACAATGATATTTTGTATTTAAAGAATTTTATGGCATTTATGACCGCTGATAAAAGTATCCCAGACGCAAAAAAAAAAGAGAGACATTATGTCCGTTCACAGTAATAATCTGACTGCAAGGATGCGACGTTACACTTGACGGGCCATTAGTGAACCCTCATAAGTGATTTGGCCTAGATGGGTGGCCCTGTGTTTTATCGGAATGTTTACCAAAAAGGTCCGGGAGAACAGTTTTCAGTTTTTAAACGGACGCGTACCGATTAAGATGACTTTAACAGTTCCGTGATCGTGTGATTAAAAAGTGTTGAGGTGAATGTTATCACTGAGTTATCGGTTCTTGAGGGTGTGGTGATGTGAGCGAGATTTCACAAGGGTGTAATCCGTACTGCTAATCATCATAAAATCTAATTGAATAATCTGCAATAATTCTGTGAGTCCGTTCCTTATCATTACTGCTGTATTTAACCTGATTATTGATAAGTGGTCCCGAGTCTGTTGTCAAATAATGTTAACAGAACTTGATAGGAATTGAGAATGTAATAATTGATGAAATGAGCCTTGACATGTCGAGCTAATTTAATTAGCTGTCCACCTTCCTGTGTTACCTAACTGGCAACTCGGGGTAGTATGTGGCCGGTGAGTGCGCGTATTTTCCCCCTTGCCATTGCACAGTCCGGTACTACCCGTTTTTGTGTGAACTATCTGTTGTAGCGGATAGCCTTCTGTTGTTGCGGGGGAAGTGTCTGTTTGTGGCGGATAGAGTTGTCAGTCGGACGTCTTGCGCGTCTTCAGTTTTTCCCTTGATGTCCGTAGTCAAAGGACTGGTTCTCAAAGTGAGCACCTCGCGCGTCTTCAGTTTTTCCCTTGGTGTCCTTGCACTCTTTGATAGTAGACCTGGGATAGTAACTGGAGCGGAGGCGTCGTGCGCCTTTTTCCCTTCGCCCCATTGCACGACTCCGTACTACTCGCCATTGTCGATAGCGAGGGTGAGTACTTCGGGCGGTATTCCCTTAGTACTCATTGCACACTCCGTAGCAGACGATAGAGATCGTTTTGACTCCAACCTCTTGGACAGAGCTCATTGCTGAATAATTTGTTAAGTAAATCAATCTTAGCAGATCATAATAAAATGGTACTGAACTTGTTGATTATCAATTAATTAAAAAGACACGGACTCGCTGGTCATAAATATCACTGAAGTGGCAGATTGCATCTGGCAATCTTGGGGATCGATGGCTCACACCCCCCTTTTCATTTTTGCAAGTTGAGTAATTGTTGATAAAACTGATTCACCTCGACAACGGCCTAACTAACAAGGAAATAATTGCGATTATCCAGATATCATCTCTGACGACTTAAAAGTGAGTTTATGATTTAATTATGTTCAAGACTGACATTTTAGAAAAGTTATAAATGGTAAAGAAATAATGTAACGCCCTCACACACACATAAAAATAATGTTTTTCTTCGTAATTTTCTCCCCTACATATGCAAACGAAATAATTCGTTTTTGTGCAAAATTTTTACAAAGAAGCGCTAAAGGAATCTTTTTTTTGTAATGGATGCAATGAATTATTGAAATAGCCCCTCTACGCCACTGATGAAGTCCTACGCCAGTGGTGAAGTGAAATCAGCTTAGTTAGGATATAAATAAATGTCATTTGTACTTCCATTTGATAGGCGATAAATATTTTGTGTGGTTTCAGTTACTAAGGAATAAACGTTATATCGCACTGTGAGAGCAATACTCACGTAACTCAAAATTTGCCGAATTCTTAAATTTATCATTAATGCATAAAAAAGTTAATGTAGTTTTAGTATATGTAAGTATAAACGGTTTTTAATAGTTGCGTAATGCTCAAATTCATCAAAATGTTTGTATTGCATTTCCGAACATTACGTGTGCACTTAATGCAAGACTGCCGTATCTCAAAACTAAAGGGAAATGCACGTATGCTATGAAGCTATGAGATTTCAGTCGATGTTGATAATCTGATACTCCTACTAATTTAGGTACAAATTGAACACAACAAATGCACAATGTCTTCTGACATATTTAAGAATTGACCGAAAACATGGAAATCAATTTTTCTTTGAATAGGAAAGCTAGGAAAGTTAATTAGAGCGAAATAAAAAATAAAAATTTGTCAAAAATTCCGATGGAATTTTCTAATTTCGTATAGAAAGGAAGTAGGTATATCAGGAAATAATAGTCAATCAATTCCCGAATATCACGACAACGGCGGCGGTCCTTTAGCAATACGTAAAAAAATACGATGGACTGAATCAATTATGTATAAAAAACGAATTAAATACAATTATAACACATTTTATAACAATTTAGTCATTGTACACTGACCGGCAAAAAAAACGACCACCCTGAAAAATTTCGCAAAACGAAGCTTTAAAAATTATTAGTTTAACTAGTGATCGTTATTTTATTAAAGAACCATTCACTATTGACATATAAGGTATAAATCAGCAAAAAAAAGAAGCCAATTAAACGCAGAATTAAATTTAATTTAACAAAATAACAAAAACAGAGCGACACTTTGAAAGACGTCTGTAAGAGTTAACGGAATTATTTTCGCGTGAAAACGTTTATTAATTGCCAAACTTATAATCAAATGATGAAAAACACTATTTACAACAACAGCCTTTTTTATTGTTTTTTTTTTTAAGAAAATATCGTACTTGGTCTGTTTCTGTTATTTCGTTAAATTAAATTTAATTCTGCGTTTAATTGTCTTCTTTTTTTTTGCTAATTTGTACATCATGTGTCAATAGTGATTGATTCTTTAATAAAATAACGATCACTAATTAAATTAAGTTTTAAAGTGGTTTTGCGAAATTTTTCAGGGTGGCTGGTTTTTTTGCCGGTCAGTGTAGATGTTGAATAAATTAATACTGTGATCGTTTTGTGTTTTGTTATATTTTTTTCATTACAATGTGTTGCTAGTTTGCTCTTGTCTTAAATTTATTAACACGCGAGCCAAAATATTTGATATGGTGTAGCAGTGCAATAGTCACGTAAGTTAAAATTTCTTGTTTTCTATAACGAGTAGAAGGTTCTACTCTAGAGGAATAAAAACACGATTAATAATAGATTGACAATACGACTATAATGTATTTCGAAACCTTTGGTAATTAAGATACAAATAATATATACGAACTTGGGAATTTTAAATCACCATTACTCAAAACACGCTGGTTTTGAGTTACGTGAGTATTGCTCTCACAGTGCGATATGTAGTATTGTAGTGCACCAAGAGATCAAATAAGATCTTTGAATATAGCTTTCCATAGTCTCCACCTATATCATAAATTAAATACTAAAATTAGATTTATAAGTGAAGATATAAAATTTCTGGAAACTTGTAAACGTAATTCAGTTGTTTTTCCAAAATTCATTCAAATTAAAATTTCAACTAACTGAAGAAACCACGAGCGTGTTGCACTTTTACTAAAACAAACATGGTTAAGTTCAAAAATTGTTCATCTTTAGGCCAAACGAAATAAACTTGTAATTCAAACTTACAGATTTTGGAAATCATTAACAATGAACTTGGATAGAACAGAACAACAATGCTTGATTTTCAAAAGGAATTAAGGACATTGGGTGGTTTTTCCAGAGAAATGATGCTCCTATGAGAAATATCAACATTGTTGAGAATCAATCTTCGGTAACATTTAATGATAATGAATTGGAATCGCAGTTACAAATACTATTTGTTATCAATCGTTTGAATGTGGGAACATCGGCTTAACGAACCAACGAAACATTTTTTTCGGGGAACCAGTAACTCAGACAGCAATTGGCACAAAAATCTGTGAATCGTTCAAGTAAAGAATCTAAGGCAGAAGTAGAACCTAGAACTACAAACAGTGACATTGAGGAGGAAATCGAAAAAAATCTCAACGGATACTGTTATCAATGTCAGGGTGAGTGACAAAAAGAAAACTCGCCCAAAAAAGAAGAAGCCTCAAATAACTAGCCAAGACCAAAACAAACAAATGACGATAAGAGGCGGTAACGAATCGCACATATTTTCTGCGATGATTTCTCGGGCATGGGTATTATTAGTATAGGCAGAGTCCGCAAAACCACCACCTGTGACCAGGTTAGAAAGGTCCTTGAAGGTAAACATAATGATAAAAACTTTGTGCTAGAAGCTCTACCGAGTAATCAAAACGCCATAACTGCTTCATTCAAGGTAGGTGCCACGCTGACCAGGAATAAAACTGACGAATTAGAAGTGAGACTAAATGGTGAAAACGAGAGATACGGGATTATTGGTCTAAGTGAACACTGGCTCTTATCGCATGAAAGTGACGAGTTAGCCATTGCTAACTACACAGTGAGTTCTCATTTCTCTAGAGCCAGAGGATATGGTAACAATATTGTATAATCCAAGTAATGCTACGATTATGTCAAAACTAAAGTCAACAGGTAAAAAGGGTATTTTATAAATTTTTCCAGGTATATTATAATTGTTTTTATTTTAGAATTATATGGAAAATTATGAACCTACAAAAACTATCTCACTATACATTCTGAAAGTCTTATTTGTAACGTAAATAATAACATTGTCTAAAAAGTTAATTCCGTAATTGTAAAGTTTATTGGAGGCAAACGAATTAATTACTGGAAAACAAGGTCTTATCAAAGCAGATGTGGTGCTGCTGTTGTTAGCCACAATACGGAAAGAGCAATTTTTCTGATGCGAAAGCATTTAGGCCACAGAATTAGTCTAGGAAAATTTACTAAGCAACCTGAACTAAGGACCATCGAAAAAAATGAATAAAGAAAAAAAATGTCGACAGCTCGTAAAAGCTTGTTTGACACCAACTGGGGAGACAAATTTTATGGAGAAAAAAGAGGAATCTTTGAAAAGCAAGGCAAAATTCTTGGAAGCTTTGCGAAAATCTTCCATCGAAACTGCAGAGATAGAAATCGTTACCAGACATCAGCAAGATAGTGATGCTTGGTATATTGAAAGGAGGAAAAGATTAACTGCGTCCAAATTTGGCGAAGTATGTAAAATGAGGGAGACCACAAGCTACAGGATCATGGCCAGTAATATAATTTACTCGAGAGATTTTTTTAGTAGGGCATGACAGTATGGTAAGGACAATGAAGCCGCAGCTAGAGAATCATTCCAAAACAATTAGACCTTGTGGACTATTTATTAACGTAAAATTTCCTTTTCTTGGTGCATCACCGGATGGGATAATTAAGCATAAGGGTATTTTAGAAATAAAGTGCCCTTGGTCTGTCAGAAATATAACACCAGAAGAAAGTGTTACAAGGAAATTTATTTCTTTCTGGAATAACTCCGCAGGAGAAGTAAATCAAAATCATAACTGGTTCTACCAAATTCAAGGACAGTTACACATCGCCAAGAAAAGTTGTGTTTTTACAGTGGGGGCTCCACATGGAGTTACAATAAAAACCACGACGTCTTTTAGAAAAGAAATATGGAAAGCAAATTAAAGACATTTTTTTTAATTTGCTTGCTTCCGGAATTGGTAGATCCTAGAAGACCTAGAAATATGCCAATAAGGGATCTAGGATATATAGAGGAAGCTATAAAAACTAACAATATAAAAAAAATAGATGAAACTTCTTATTTAACTATAGTGATGTTGTTATTTCTGTCTTATTTTAGTGTTGACTTCATCGTTATGGCGATTATATGTTTTTAAATATTATTTTAGTTTTTTTTATATATAAAATAAATGGAATATAGATACTCTAGATTTTATAAATATTATTTGTCTTTTCTTTTAATTCCATTTTTTTTTGTAACTAAGCATATGGGTGTGTGCATTCAGTGTGTTAGTCGAACCAAGATATCCTTTTTTTTTTCAAATTAAAACCAACAACATAGTACACAGTGCATTTTTTTTACGAATTCATCGTGGGGATTTACAACGTGTACATTAATGTTTACAAAGTCTGATAATTGTTAGATTAGAACCAAAGAAGTAAACATAGTCCAATAGTCATTTTAATATTTTTACCTGATATTTAATATTGTTGATAACATGTGTCCCCTGACATTTACATACAAATAAAAAATGTTGATTTATATAACTCAAAAAAAGGTTCAACTGGTTACGGCTTATCATTATCATCTTAGACATTTTTGGTGACAATTACGTATTTTCTGGAATGAAGGCAATCGACTAGCTTCAAGAAATCAAGATATTAGTTTCGTTCCATTTTTGTTCTCTTTTTTCAAATGTCCTAATACCGCAAACCTTAGTCTCTTTAGAATTGTTGGTCCAAAACTGCTTAGAATCATTAAGGAGTATATCCAATTAAGTAATCAACGCCTGTATGAAAAAGAACATTTTTCAGTTGAACAGACAGTATTTCCAACAGCATAAAGTAACAAGCTAAGCTTGAATATTTTCCATAGATATGGCTAAAGTACGTGGATTACATTAATTGAATGCGATATTCAAAATTTCGTCAACAACTAAAAAAGTCAATTCAATAGCACTAATTTCACTCACGAAGAAGAGAATAACAAATAACTACCGTTTCTTGATGTCTAGTAATTAAAAATAGTATTTAATAAGTTAAAATTTGATGTTTATAGGAAAGATACCAGAATATTTCGCGACATCACTGCTGACTGACATACTGTCCTCATCAACAGAAGAGGCAAGTCTTAACTTATTGGTCAACTGGCTCCTGAGCTTTCCTTTGAATAAGGAAAGGTTCAACAAGGAGGTTGAAATCGTTAAAGATCTAGCTAAACGTAACGGTTTCGAAACTGGACTAGTTGATAAAGCAATTACCCAGTTTAAACTTAGGAAATTGATCGCTGAATGACCCACTTTTCAAACAGGAAAGCAATAGAAGAGAGGTTTGGCCACAATTTCTTTTGCTTCTTCGATAACAAAAGAGTTGAAAAAAGTTTAAAAACCCGAAGAACAAAGTAGGGCCTAATGAAAAGTCGGGAATTGATGAAATACCTTGTAACAATTGTAGTCACAAAACTTTGGCCAAAGAAAAACATCGAAATTACGAAATTCAAAGACCACATGATTTGAGACTGATCACAAAATAGATGGAAACCGTTGGATGTTAGTTCAGGCAATCACGAAAGTCTAGAAATTTTTAAAAACAAAAATTGTGTAATGAATTCAGATCAAACTCGTCCCTCGACGCTCTTGTGGAGTCGACGACGAAGAGATTGGCAAAACGAATAATTGATACGATATAAATTAACGTAATTGTAATTCACTTTAGTTTCTATAAAACATAAATAAACAAAAATAAAATATATATTTGTAAAATGCAGTAATTATCAATTTCGAGACATTCACGAAAGTTTAGAAATACTTATACAAAACAAAAATCATGCAATGATTTTTTTTTTAAACAAAATGTAAAGCATTATTATTTATGTTCATCTACACCACCGGTGAAGCCCTATGGCGCTGATGAAGTGGGAGAAGGCTTAGGGTATTGTAATTCCACCTTAGTTTCGTTTTGTCTAGATTATGCCGACGTATAGTTGGCGAAATGCGTAGACCAATATTGTGCATGGTTTTGATGTTTGGGGAATAAACGTTGTAGCATAGAGTTAAATAAACCTTGGAAACGCTAAGATTGTGTTGTATGCAATCATTGTTAAAAGTTACTAAACACAGAATACTTTCACTCTCGCACGGATAAAACTTTTTCACCACTATCCGCACTATTGTCACATTTAGTATGCTAGTATTCCTTGGACGAACCGTTACCTTTAACATCGTAATTTTTTTATCAATTTAATTACTGAGGATTTACGAGGACACAATTCTTCGCACCAACGTGCACAAATTGACTCGACAAGAATAGACCACGGGAGGGTGATAAAAAAAACGTAAAAACAAGGAAGATAAGTTATCAATACACATAACAGCGACAACAACGAGGGATTGGTAAGACGGTCATCTTAAATTTGAGAAATGCTTTTATACCGTTATACAAATTGTCCAAAAACTTTGATTTATGTAACGTTAATTGTCAAAGTTTAAAATCCGAAACTTGTCTCGATTTTGAATGAATATTTTAATCTATCTAGAACGCAAGAAATATATACTTATACTTTTTTTAATAATAATAGATTCTGAAAACTTGGTCGATTTTCTACTTCTTGCATGCCAGAGGAATATTGTCAAAAGAGTTAATTTCCCACATTTCTTGTGCATTTCGAATTGCATGTTATTTTATAACATATTTTTTTGAAATGTACAATTAAGTATCGTGCAGCTGTCGCGAGGATAAAAAATATAACAATAAAACAATAATATTTCAAGATTTTCTTTTTAGCTAAAATTCAGCCTACACGCTACGGACAAAATTACGCAATAAATTACATTTTGTGCTGCTGGCAAATTCTCTTTCAAGAATGCATTTTTTGTTTTACTTTATTGTCGGTTTGTACGGTCGCCTCCGTTACAACGTTATATTTATTTTGACCCATTATTAGAGCCGAAGAAAACATGCAACATTTGCATTTGTTTTAATGTTTCTGGGAAAATACATGCAAAGCTGGCATTCAATTAATTTCACGTAAAATCTGTTATTTGACCTACCTACGCAAGCCCTTCCAAACACAAATTATGAAGCTAAATAAGTTTACAAAGTTCTTAATTTAAAAATTCTTTCTACATTTAACTTTTTTACGACCCCAAAAGAAGTAACAATCTCAACTTTATTGTATGAAATTACGGGTTTATATTAAATCAGAAAGCTACCGTAGAGGCGCAAATTGATTTAATGGAAAAACACAAGTTTTAATAAAACAATGTTCAACTTTCCATTGTGTTTTTTCATTATAGACGACCGTTTGCGTGTTGCTTTTTAATTTAAATTCTTTATTACAGAATGAGAAACAAACCGAAAGAAAAGTTCACCGTCGCTTTTGGGAATAACTCGAGAAAAATTTCTGTCCGGTTATGTTATAACGACTACAATCAGAAGATTAAGTTTTTATGAACGCTGAAAGCGTTCGGTGCTACAAAATATTAGAAAAAAGCAGGTAAATTTATCACTGGCGAGCGGCACGTCACGGCTCTTCCCGAAAAGATAATTCCGACGTGGAAAAGGGTTAATATTTAATCAAATCAAATTGATTAACCCCACACACAGTAGCTTGTCGTGTTTGATTAATGTTCAGTGGGATTTTTTTATATTTATTTTCAAGGGGATAATTACTGGAAGCACCTATGTAACGTAGGCGTAATATCGGTGGAGAGAAATCCGTTAATACTACCATAAAAGGCAGAGGCGACTCGTCGCATTGCGATGAAAAATTCTTAACAGCGATAAAATGAAACCGTCGAATAAATCGAGGAAGTAATTGAATCGAGGGAAAAAGGACGTGTAAGTCTTAAAAAGTGGCAGTGTGTGACATTTACGGCGACAGAAACTCGTAAAAAGGCGTAATTGGGAATGGAGTTAAACGAGCTATAATGTTTGTGTAAAGGGAAATCTGATTAGACCGGCTATGGTTCACCAGCATTTTGGACAAATTTCTATCCGGAGTCCGGGGTAATTTACGAGTGAATTGCATCATTTAAAAAGTGGGATTTTAAACTTTAGTGTGGGTTTACTTGTGAATGTTAGGCGGAAATGGATTAGCACTAATTGGAACAAAGGTTTTAGCGCCCACCTCAACGTTTGACTAGCATTATTTTCGAAAAGAACATTATACGAGGATCGATTGATTAATAAGATCGGCACGACGATTAAATTTTACTGAATAAAGTTACAATGATCCGTTCGGGTTCAAAAGGGTACCATGATTGAATTCGAAGTAGAAATTAATTGACTTTTCTGGGTCAGCTGGAGGCAGAATTCTCTGAACAGTTGTTCTTGTTCTTATCGTCGACGTATCTAAAAAAAAATGCAACAAGTAGCCGAAAAAATAAATTTGTAAAATTTACACTAAGTAATCAACAAAATGCGATCGAAAACTTTTTGAGTGACAACATGCCACGACAAACAACGTGCGATCGAAGACTTCGAGTGGTAGTAGCCTACGGTCTACGTCGAGTAGCTGTTAACATTAATTTTAAAATGACATATATCAACTCTAATGTCGTGTCATGTCGGGAAAATACGGTTATGTGAGATTATCAGTCTCAAAATGCAGCATTGCTTTCTGTGATTAGTTGAATTATTGGAAAACATTTCATATTAAGTTTAAAGCGTACTAAACATATTTTATTTTTTACAAACTTCAGTTTAATACATTTTCAACATTTACTGTGATGTGTTCTTTTTATTGTAATGAATTAGTTTTATTTTTTAAAAAGATATGGAGAGTTTAGGCAACCAGTTATGCAGATGCGTGTGGTCTTTGTCATGCGTCCTTTGGCGTTTAATACAGTTCAAATCTGAGAGGGGGCACCTTTACACGACCTACTGCGACCCTATAGCCATTTATAGAAACCCTATATTCATATTTTTTAGAATTGCTTATAGGTATAGAGTGACAGCTCGCTCCATTTTCCCGAAAATTTGAGAATACAATATTGTTATTATTAGTGTC